AATAAAGTTTGTTATGATGCAGATCAAACCAACGTTGCCAATGGGTGTGAAGGCGGGTAGCAATTTCAGCAAAACAGTCTGTGAATGGAACACCTCCATATGAAACTTGGAGGGCATATACTGCTGACCGCACAGCAGTGTCTGCCTGTTCATTGCCCTCTACGTCAACATGACCAGGGACATAGTAAAAAACAATATCTTTGTGTTTGCTAGAGATACGGCATAACCAAAGTTGGATACGAGGAACTAGGGGAAGAAGTGTATCAAATTTTCACATAGCTTGTAAAGCACTAAGGGAATCTGAAACGACAACAAATGGTGACACAGCCATAGATGCAATACAGATAAATGCTACAAGAATGACATACAATTCAGCCATAAAAATGCTAGCCGAGGATAATTAATGTCCTTGTACAACACTGTCCAGAAACACTGTTGCAAATCCGACGCCGTCAGAAGACTTAGAACCATCGGTGTACACTGCGATGGCACGAGAATGAGAGTGGAAGTGGTCAAGAAATAGAGAGCGAGAAGCCACAGTAGGTAACTGGGCTTTTGCACATGGCAGTGGGAAAGAACAGACGCGAACAACTGGAACTTTCCAAGGGGTTAGGGAAAAGTGAGATGCTACATGAACATAGAAAGGTGGTAATTGAAGAGAAGACGAGAGCGAATGGAGGTGGATAGAAAAGGGACGGAGTAAACAGGGAAGACGAAAAAATAAAGTTTACTAACATCAATGACCATCCTATATACGGAAGGATTGTGAAGGTCATGAGATCGAACATAATAGCGAAGGCAATGAGCATCTAGGCAATCGGACAAGTAAGGAATATCTATTCTGCATAGAGTCTCTCAATAGCGGATGAACGAAAGGCACCAAGGCACAGGCGGAGACCCTGGTGATAAATGAGATCTAACTTAGACAGAGCTGTGGGAGAGGCCGCAGAATAGAGTTGATCACCACAATCCAGCTTTGACAAGACAGAGGAGAGTGCGACAGTCTGCTCCCTATGAATGATGTGCGAGAACTTTAAGGAGATTTAGCTGACCATGGCAAGCTGTCTTTAAAGAAGAAATGTGTGGTCTCCTCATCAGCCGGCGATCAAAGAGCAGGCCCTATCCGGAATATGAGGACGTCTAGTGACGGTAATGACCCCGGTTTTTGTAATAGAAAATTTAAAGCAGTGAGAAGTGGTCCAATGGAAGACTCAGTCTATCACAACCTGAAGAGAAGCTGCAACTAGTCGACAGTCAGTGCCCGAGTAAGCTATAGCGAAGTCATCAACATAAAATGACGACCAAAAATGCAAAGGAAGATTGGAAGGTAGGTCATTTATAGCTAAAAGAAAAATAATATGGCTAAGAACACAACCATGTGGGACTCCTTCGGCTTGAACAAAGTCCAAGGAAAGCGAAGCGCCAATACGCACCCGAAAATGTCTATCGAACAAGAAAGCAGTGATGAAGTTTGGTAGATTACCTTGGAGGCTTATTTTTAAAAGTACAAAATGTTTTAGCCTCTATAACTGAACTGGGGAGTTTGTTCCACTCATCCACAACTCTATTACCAAACCAGTGCTTTCCTTTATCCTTCTTGAATCTAAATTTTTCCAACTTGAAATAATTGCTGCGAATCCTATCTTGGCTGGAAATTTTCAGCACGCTACTTACATCCCCTTTATTCCTGTTTTCCATTTATACACCTCAATCATATCCCTCCTAATTCTACGCCTTTCGAGAGAATGCAGATTCAGCGCCCTCAGTCTATCCTCATAGGGAAGATGTCTGTTACATGGGATCAACTTTGTCATTCTCCTCTGTACGTTTTCCAGAGCATTTACATCCATTCTGTAATACGGTGACCAGAACTATGCAGCATAGTCTAAACGAGGCCTAACCAATGATATACAGAGTTGAAGAACAACCTGAGGACTTCTATTATTTATGCTTCTAGATTTGAAGCCAAGAATTCTGTTAGCTTTATTGCGAACACTAATGCACTGTTGTCTTGGTTTTAGATTACTGCTAACCAAAGCTACTAAATTCTTTTCGCAATCAGTAGTATTAAGATCTACATTATTTAGTTTATATGTCGCATGGTTATTTTCATGTCCAATATTTAGAACTTTGCATTTGTCTATATTAAACTGCATCTGTCACTTCTCCGACCATTGCATCAGTCTATTCAAATCATCCTGGAGTGTTCTAGTGTTCTCATTAGAATGAATTGGTCGACCAATTTTAGTGTTATCAGCAAATTTGCTTATGTCGCTATTTATTCCCTCATCTATGTCGTTTATGTAAATTGTAAACAACAACGGGCCCAACACTGTCCCCTGCAGAACCCTGCTTGTGACGTGCCCCCATTCTGATTTCTCCCCATTTATGCAGACTCTCTGTTACCTATTTGTCAGCCATGCCTCTACCCAGGAAAAATTTTTTCCTCCTATTCCGTGTGCCTTAAATTTCCTCAATAGCCTCTGAAGTGGAACTCTATCAAAAGCCTTACTGAAGTCCATATGCACAATATCATATTCATTACCATGATCTACCTCCTCAAACACCTCAATGAAAAAAGTTAATAAATTCGTAAGACAGGAACGCCCTTTTGTAAAACCGTGATGAGATTCATTAATCAATCTGTACCTATCAAGATGGCTACAAATTGCTTCAGCAGCTATTGATTCCATAAATTTTCACACTATGGAGGTAAGGCTTATTGGTATATAGTTCGAAGCCAAGGACCTGTCACCTGCCTTGTAAATAGGTATTACATTTGCCATTTTCCACTTATCAGACACTATGCCAGTGTGTAGTGATATGTTAAAAAGATTAGCCAAAGGTATGCTAAGTTTCTCTTTACATTCCTTTAACGCCCTTGCAAACAGTTCATCAGAAACTGGGGATTTGTTAGGTTTTAGTTTCTTTATTTGTCTGAGGACCATGTCACTAATTACCGCAATCGTGCATAGTTTATTATCATCCTGTTCTACGTAATCTATTATTTCAGAAATATCGCTAGTATTTTCCTGGATGAAAACTGAGAGGAAGTAGATATTGCGAATTTCACACATATCCTTTTCACTGTCAGTGATCTGACCAGAGTTACTCTTAAGTGGGCCAATCTTGTCCCTCATCTTACTTCTGTATACCTGAAAGAACCCTTTTGGGTTAGTCTTTGAATCCCTTGCGGCCTTAGCCTCATAATCCCTTTTTGCTTTTCTTATTCCTTTCTTTATTTCTCTCTTTAAATTTCTTAACTGCCCATCCCCTCTTTTGATACACCTATATATGCCTCTCTTTTGACCAATGAGATGTTTTAATATATTGTTCACCGATTTATAATCAATTTTATTAGATTTAATTTCCCTACTAGGAACAAAAGTTTCCTGGACAGGCAGAACTATGCTCTGAAAAACGTCATATTGGCAACCAAGTTCACCTACCTGACCCATAGTCAGGACATCCCAATTTAGCCCACCCAGGTAATTTTTCAGTCCCATGAAATCGCCCAAATGAAAATCTGGGACAGAGATTTGATTGCAGTTATCTGGGTAATTCCATAATATATTGAAACTAAGTGATTTGTGACCACTTTCCCCAACGAGTGACTAGCAACACGGTGTTGTAAACACCACCTCCAAGGCTGAGGGACTGATCACCTCATCTTTTGTATATAGTTCTTCTGTTTTCTAATTATGTCCAAGAACTTGTATTGATAAAGCCATTGGATGGCGAAACGTCTACAATAAAGATAACCAGATGTTGCACAAGTGTCTTAACTTTCATATCTATATTACCTACACTTGCAAGTAATCTTAGCTCATCTATTTTATTTCTTAGATTCCTACTATTTGTATAGTAAACCTTAAGGGAGCTAGTCACTCGTTGCCCTCTACTATCTCTCTTTGTTTGTTGATCAATTGATTTGCCATTACTAGCAACTTTATTTTGAATATTGTCTTTTAAACATATCCCTGAGGTATCCGGTAATAACTGCTGTTTTTAACCCTAATACTACAGCCTGATTGTTTCCCACAAACACCAATACCTCTATAATCTATTAGTTTAAATTCCTAGACAAGTCATCAATTACCCTCTCAATCGAATTTGCTAATGCAACCACTCCATCCCCAGAGAGATGAACCCAATCCCTTGCATACATATCACGTTTGTCAAAGAATAGGTCCCAGTTAACAATGAATGGGATTGCAAGTTCCTTGCAGCACCTGTCTAGCCAACAATTTATACCAATTGTCTTAGACAACCATTCATTGCCCACTCCTTTTCTAGGCAAGATACTACATATGACTGGAATCCCTCGCTTAGACCTGACTGCTTCTTTGGCTGAGTTGTACTTAATCAGTAGCTCTTGTCTCCTGCCCTTCCCAATGTCATTACCCCCAGCACTAAGACAGATAATGGGCTTGTTTTCATTACCTGACATAATGTTATCCAACCTGCTGACTATGTCACCAACACCAGCTCCTGGAAGGCACACCCTCTGTCTGACCTTTCTGTCTCTGTTACGAAATGCAGTCCATATATCTTATCTGAGAATCTCCTACAATTAAAATGTTCTTACCTTGATTAGCAGGTGAATCAGTGGTACCTTCAACCCCACTAACCACTGAAGTGCACTCGTCCTGGAGAACAGAGAATCGATTTCCTACCTTCACATCTTCTCTGTTAACCCTCCTTATCTTTCTTCATCCTGAACTGTGAACCACTTACCACTTAAAGCGGCTGCCACCATCACTGCTGGTGACCATTTCCTCCTTACCAGCTAGATCCTTCTCACACTCACTCCCAAACTCATCTAGGCAAAGCTTCAGCCTCCTATTTTCCTCTGAAAAAGTAGAACCTCCTTCTTCAACACCTGAACCTGAAATTCTAAAACACTACAACAAGCCATGGTGCTTGGTAACACCCCACGTTATCTCCCAGAGAGTTTAGGGCAGGTATGACCGCAGGTGACCACTGCCCTTTCTCCACAGGCACCCTCCTGCTCAGCTGCACCGATGAATATCAAGGAAGCGCCCGCTGATGCAGCCGGCCCAGCAGGATCTCCATCTGCTGGCTTCCACCTGCTGTCACCTGGGGTTCACGATATCTGCAGAAAAATCCAGAGCCATGATCCTTCACACCAGGGAATCTAATCAGAGGCTGCAGATCCTAGGCATAAACCTGGAATGGGTTCACAGCTATAAGTACTTTGGCATCTACATCGACAGGCATTTTATCTTCATAAGAAAGAAGAACATAAAAACAAAGCCCGAGGGGAGGACCCCAGAGACTACAAACGGGATGGGAAACAAGGGGAGGGTGGGTAGAGGGGAGGAAAGGGGAAAAAAGGGAGCATGGGGAGGGTGGGATAGGGAAGGGAGGATTGGGGTAATTAGGTTCGGTCTGAGGAAGGAGACCAAAAGGTTTAATTCCTCAGACCAAGTGCCTTTTCACCATGCCAAGGATCTCCCCCTTGAAGAGGAGACATTATATGAAAGGTTTATATTACTGAAAAGTTGATGAATATAACAATAGTGACCAATATTGATGTCTTCATTAATGAGGCGGGTAGCCATTCAGTATCTTTGTTAATCCAATATTGAGAATGTTTACGCTAGATAGTGGAAGTTATGGATTAGAAATGTTTAGGTATTCATTCCCTCAGCCTTGGTAGAAAATGTTAATCTCATAAACATTCAAATATCTAGAGCAGATGTGTGAACATGATAACAGTATATCTTCTTAGTTCTACTAGTGGGTCCAGCCTCTTCTGTTGGCAAGTTTCCATTCTGTTGTATCAAGTTCACATTATTCCAGACTATGGAGCTCAACTCTTCTCCAGAGGGACTGACCACCTTTAACCAACGTCTTTGAGGGTGATGGACTGATTACACATTTTTCTTAGTACAGTTATTGAGAAGAATAAATGCCTTAATATGTTAATTTCACTTAATTTACATTCATGTTACAAACTTACGATCATGAACTATTTTTGAAATTATGAAAAATGTTCATTGTTTTGAGTATTTTACTTCATGGAAATTTCTTCGCTAAATGAAGAAATTTCCTTGAAGACAAAATAGACATTTCATAAAGATCTGGTGAACGAATAATTAAAGAAAATTATGGAAACTTAGACAGAATCATAGGAGGATATTTAAGAACATTTACACTTTTATTTACGATAATTTGATGCATCTCCTATTTCTGATGTCTTACAAATATTCTTAAATTCTGCAAATTATCTTTAACAAGGATTCCTTTATTTTAATAATCATTAATGTGGTCACCCTTCAAGTGTCAGCCATGATGTCAGTCAAGGGCTCTAAACCCTTGAAACAAGAACATCTTTCCTTGGATCGACCCTTGACTAAATCCAGCTTCCTAAACATTGTAGACCCTTATGAGTTAACAGTTTCCCAAAGAATATAAACAATATTTTAACGTTTTTAACAATAACAAGTTTTACATGTTTCAATGACCAGTCCAGATGGTACTTCACTTGTTTTTTCAGCTGTCAAAACAAGTCTACAAGTGAAGAAAATGATGCAGAAAATGTTTGAATACAAGAAAATTATGAAAAACCTGTGATAAATAAATATTATCATTGCTATAAATTGCATAGGTATGTGAAGACCAGATAAACAGAAGGTCAGATAAATACTGGATAAAGATAATAAATGTCTACGTTGAAAAGGTTTCTTTTTGTTCTAAAATAATATACATTATAATACATATTTGTTATGCTTAGTTCCAGTTACCTTGGTTGATGGCAACCATTAATCTTGATAAGATAATTCGCTGCCTGGATGAGGTAGAGTGCGGTCGTGCTTTGCACCCCTCTACTGTTTTCCCAGACGAGCTACTCAGTCAACAACATGGCGCCAGGTGTGCGCAGGAGAGTGAATACTGTGGGCATTGAACTCATTAGTGGGGCTTTAACGCCTACGTCAGTTGATGTGTTATTGCCCAAAATTATAAGAGAAACATACGGCATCAGAGACGAGGATTTGTATGGAGTGGCACTAAATGGTGTTTATAGAATATTCGTGAAAGTGCTAACTGCTCAAGTGTACTAGGAGTTGGTGGATCGTTTCCAAGATGTCAGCCTTAACGTAACACCGGCAGTGAGGGTCAGGTTGACGGATGTATCAAGACATTATTCATGGGTCAAGCTCCGCAACGTGCCTTTTGAGGCTGATGAAGCAGATCTTAGAAATGTTTTCGAAAGATATGGGACTGTACATCTATCCCAACCTGGAGAATGGGTAAAAGGAGCTTATGCAGGATTTCCTGAGGATACTTTCAATCTCAAGATGACACTGAGACATCCTATACCCTCATATGTATATCTTGAGGAGTTTAAAACCCAGGTAATGGTAGCGTATGCTGGACAGAGGCGTAGGTGCCGACTGTGTGGCGAATATGACCATATGGCGGCAGATTGTGGCAAGCGGAATATGGCTCCTGGGCCGGCAAGGGGCGGAGCACCTGCACATGAGAAAACGATGCTTGAGGAAGAACGGAGGCAAGGAGGAGGGCGTGGTCGCACGAGGAGTGAAGATGTGGTGGCTCCTCCTGTGGAATCTGAAGGGGAGGTGGTGATTCATGAATCATCCAGCCCATTGACAGTACAGTTTTCGAGTGAGGAGGTGCAAGTGGCCGCAGAAGTGAAAGCTATCGAGGAGGAGTTGGAGACGGTGATACAGGCTATGTTACAGTCTATGGAGGTGGAGAGTCACAGTGAGCAGGAACCTGGGATCAGGGAGGAAGGAGGTGTGTATGGGAGGAGGGAGGACCAGGTGTCATCTGTGATGGGCAGTGCAAGTGCCATGGAAGGACATGGAGGCGACTTAAGGGTGGTAGAGGTGGAAGTCCATTGTGAGGACTCCCAGGACACAAATATGGAGACTGAGGGAGCGACGAGGAAAAGGGCGGCAGCATCAGATTCGGGTGATGTTCTGACGCTGGCACAAAGGCTGGTGAAAAAGGCATGGGGTTATGGTACCCAGAGTGACTCTCAGAGGGGGCCACAACAGAAGGCAGGGGGGATGGTTGGGAAGGAGATTGGAGTACGTGGCAAAGGCAATGCCCAGGGGAATGATCAGAAAGGGAAGAGTCTTGAAATGAGGTGGGAAGGGAATCCTTAAACTGGCCTCAGGTGTGTAACAATAAATATTAATGGTCTGTGTGATGGTGTTAACCGTGAGTGCTTCCGGGTGTTTTTGAATAGATACAAGGTTGACTTAGCTTTTGTGCAGGAACACAATTTTAAACTTGGTCGTGAATTAGTGGTGCCTGGGTACCAGGCTTATGTGTTGCCGTCTGAGCATTTAAAAGGAGGAGTGGGTGTGTTGATCAGGGAGGCGAGCCCATTTGTATTGCATAGGAAAGAAGGGGGGAGGGGGATAGTATTACATGTGGAAGGATCGTTGATGGGAGAGAGAGTGGCGTTCATGTGTGTGAATGCCCCAGCAGAAAGTGACGTGAAAGCAAAGACAGATTTTGTACGGGAGGAACTTGTGTACTTCCTACGCTCGTTACCGTCTGTGGCGATTGTGGGGGGGGGATTGGAATTGTGTAGTTAAGACGGTAGACGTGGAACCCAGAGGAGCGGGATATTTTTTGTCAGTCTTAGGGGGCCTGTTTAGAGATCTTCAGTTACATGATGCTACTGGGGGAGGTCTGTGGGAGGTGGAATATACTTTTATACGGCGGGAATATGCGGCTCGTTTAGACAGGATTTATTTATCTCAGAGGGTTTTGGTAGAGTCTTTTAAAACTATTGAGATGGTGTCTTCCGATCATAGGGCGGTAATAGTGGAGGTGGGGTGGGATGCTTTGGCTCGTAGGCAGGGAAGTTATTGAAAACTGAATACGATGGTTTTTGGGGGATAGGGAGGGAGTGGAAAGTTTTGCAGTATTTTGGGAGCAACTTTGTGCAGAGAGAAGGACTGAGGAGGATGTGGTTGGATGGTGGGATAGTGTGACTAAGGTAAGAATACGTCAATTATATGTGAGAGAAGGCAAATGCATTAATCAATTGTGGTACGGTTTGTCAAATTATTTAGAATCTAGATTACGGGATTGTTACGCAAGGGGGACGATGGTGGGGGTGTACCCATTGGAGGAAATACAGATGTTGAAGAACAGGATAAAGGATTTGCAAGAAGAGCGTTTTGCAGTGGTACGAGTACAAGCGGGGCTGGACGAAGTACTCTGGGGTGACAGGCCATCGGCTTGCATGCTGTGAGGACAGAAGGTACGACAGCAAACAACTACAATGCTGGGATTGCAAGTCATTTCTTCGGTGGGTTTTTTTCGAGAGGGTCAGGTATTATGGGAAAAAATGGGGATGAGTGTGTATGCAGATAGATGGTTTGAGGAGTACGGGAAAAATAGCGTCGCGGATGGCGAGGTTCTTGGGCAAGTATGTGTGTATGTGCCGTGCAAACTAGGGAGGAGTGATTTAGAGGCACTGGGTGGGGTCATTGAGGAGGAGGAAATATGGAGAGCCCTTATGGACATGAGGAACGGAAAGGCACCTGGGATAGATGGTTTACCAAGCGAATTTTATGTACAACACTGGGGTCTGCTAAGGGGATTCCTAGTAAGGTTAATGAATACCATGAAAGGAGGTAAGATGGGAGAATCGCAGGCAATGGCGGTGGTGGTGTTGGTCACAAAAGGTAAAAAGCAGAGTACCCTTCGGGATTACTGAGCCATTTCATTGCTTTGTGCTAATTATAAGCTGTTCTCGAAAATTCTTGGGAATAGGTTTAAATGTGTTGTGGGGAGGGTGGTGTTTGAGTCTCAGTTTGCACTGCCAGGTAGGTCAATGGTCGATGGCCATGGGATCATAAAGGGGTTCCTGCAGGAGATGGAAGGGGGCAGCGGGGCACTGTTTGCATTGGATTGGCAAGGGGCTTATGACAGGGTGGAAAGAGAGGCTTTACGGGATATTCTCCTCAGACAAGGGTTTGGCGAAGAAATAGTGGGGTGGGTGGATATGTTGTACTCAGGAGCGAAGGTAAGGGTGCAAATCAATGGGTGTGTGGGGAAGGGAGTCAACATGGAGTGGGGGCTTCGGCATGGTTGTCCCGTATCACAATTTTTGTTTGCATGTGTTCAAGATCCTTTTTATAGGATGGTTGAGGATCTTCTAAGGAATAGGGGGGAGACGGTGTACAGAAGCCTTGGCCTGGCTTGGTGGGTTATGCTGACGATACAACTATTTTGGTGTGTGAAGAGACATGATTAGAAGTTTTAGGGGAAGTTGTACATATGTTTGGGAGAGCTACTGGAAT